GTGTTCAACACCGCTCGAAGGAATCGTGGCCTGGTCCAAGTCTCGTTGGAGGTCAATCGCCTTCTATTATGAGATGTGTCACACTCCGCCTGGCCACCCGCAAAGAAACGTGGCTAGAAGCTTCATATGTCTTATTTTTGTGCAATGCATACTGAGATCCTCCATTCTCGTGAGGTATGAGTTTGATCGTCCAATCTGTCTGAGGCCAATGGGTTGCCACACGAACAGAAGCCATCGGCGGAGATTTTTGAAACAAGAAGAGTGCTCAGCTGCAAAAAAAAAAACCGTCACAATGTTGCATAGTATCAAGCACGTCCGGAGCATCAGCAGGAGCACTTTATTCAGAAAGCGTAAATTGACGACACCTGATCTGATATGGCATTCCGTTCCCTGAATCAACTTCCCCACATCAGCGCACCGTCTATTTGGGTTTACGACGTCGTCTACACTTGCTGCCCATCTGCGATCTCGTCAGAACCAACTGGGAACGCGGAAAAGGAAAGTATAGTAAGAATGTCCTGACAACCATAGTTTATGCTGGCGGTCTTGGATTCAGCCACAATAATTCAGTCATAATTCAATTCGTTGAAGAAGACAATCAAACTCAAACATATTAGTCTGTGTATAGTTTAGATGAAGTGCTGTGGCGGTACCCTCTCTATTCCCACGAACAACTTGTGCTGTGAAGAAATGATGAGTGCCACGCGACTCTCACGCGGCGGAGAGCTGTGTCTTGCCATAGCCCGACCTGGAGTAAAATTGTAGATATACACTTGATGGGAGCGCAGGGGCCGTCACTCCAGTCCTACGAATAATTTCTCACTCGCTCACTTAACACATCAGACAATAGGCCTATTCCATTCGGAATGTAGGAGCGGCGCATGGCGATGCGCCATAGGGTGGTGACTTGCACTGTATCATGGTATACCAACGAGCCTGGCTATTCACGCATGATTCTCCAACTGAAGGTCGACGCGGCGTTCGTGCCCGCATGGAGGCATCGGCGCGCGAATCTGCCGCGCGCCCCTCATTTTAACAGCTTTTCCATCCGGTCAACTCATTATAGAGTCCTTTTTTCTAATCTCCTCTTCGTTGGCGTACAACCTCGAGAGCTAGGCGGGCGGAAACGAGATGGACACGGTCTTAGCAAGTGGTTTTTGTGCGGGGCAGAGGCTTTCGTTTTTTTGGGGGGTCGCGGCTTGACGCTTTTCAACGGACTTTCCACACCCGCCCTTTACAAAAAAAATATTCACAATCTTGAAAGATCATGTCAATGGATCGAACGAGAGAGCCTTCTAGATATTACTCTCAGACAAGTTGGAAACAGGTTCTATTTCAACTGTTTAGACGTATTTGACATTTCAACGTTAACACCTTCACTTTAAAAACGGATCTCGCGTCAGTCCTTTATAACGACGCCCATGAAACATCACTTACAGCCTTGAAAGCCGGGTTCGGTGCCACGCGGGTGTTCCCATGGTCTTTTACAGCACACTTTAAAGGTCGGTTCTCAGAATCAGGCCGATTGTCAGAGAAACGCACAGCCTTCAAGTTGGAGGAATCCCGCTCGGCAGGAGCCGTGATCCACTTTCTTAACACAATGTTCCCACGTCCGGGGCTCTCGCGCCGACCCACCCCTGGGAAGACAACTTACGAGAAGGCCATACTGCTCCGACCGCTAACGTACATCCTTGAAAATATGTTTCGGTTACTCGACCTATGTAAACGTAAGGGTCGGAGTTAAACTGGTTCCGCTCTCTCGGAAAAAAAGATTGGGTCGGGTTTTGCTTCTAGGAGTTAATCGGGTTTTATAATGTGACGGGGACCGGTGCGTGGACAAAGGTGGATATTATTAGCCTAGGAGGAGGAGGAAAAGAAGGAGGATATATCACATCTGGATATTTCTTTAAACCGGCGCTCCGAAGGGGGACTGCGCCATGTAATCTTACCTACCTACCGCCTCGGTAGTTGGTTCCATGGGGATCATTGGAGACCGGTTCGTAATCCACCGACAATCACTTCACACTTAAACGGAGGTCAGTTGTTTAGTCGCGTAGTCCATGAAAGAGCATCCGCGACCTTGACCGTAGACAAAAGGTGCCGAGGTTAATGGTGAAAGGCTTAGCGTATACACACGGCGAACTTGAAATTCAGGCACTGTTTCATGTTTCAGATTCGCAACAGTCTTATAAGATCTTACGTACGTATTATTGAATGTACTTCGAAAAAAAAATCACTCAGACCGAGACAGGTCGAACGGCTCACTGTGTCCAGCAGCCGCCGGCTAGAGAGATCCTACAGTTTAGCTTTTTGGAAGACGGAGGAGGAGAGTGATATTGCCAAGCTATTCAACCATGATTCTCACAGTATTCGTCGACTGTTTCGCTGGGAATGCCGAGCTTTCAAAATTGGGCGCTAATGGTCACTGATGGAAAAGAAAAAAAGAACTTACACAGCCACTCAGATGCCATCGATAAACTCAAGCTCACACAGCCGCTCAGGAGTCCCCTTCGTGGCATACTTATGGCAGAGGGTATAACAGCCGTTTTTAAGGCATTTTCTCCACAAACGCACTATTTCTTCCACTTTCTTGAAGCACCTGCCTGACTTTGACATGGCTGGCTCGACGACCGGGTTCAATTTTGTAGGTGGTCCAGTGTATATCTAACCTTGCACCAGAATTCATCTCCCCCATGGTATAGATAATCGTAGGGGCGTCCGTAGCAGGTGCTTGAGCGGCGCATTAGTAGCGGTAAGAACGACGGATTGAACGATCTCGACAGGACTGGCGTCAGCTATCGCACTGAAGGCTTCTGGCCACAATGTGCTGGTCTTGGAAAAGGAACCACAGCTTGGGGGGACAAGTTCGGTGAGCATGAAATACCCGATTTTGGAATTTTTGGACTCGAATTTAGCGTGACCTGCCAGATGCCAAGCCGGTGTGCACGGTAGAGGCTGCTTCGGACTCTATGCATTTATTCAATAATTTTTTCAGCATACCTCCCAACGGATCTAAAATCCTGTACGACTGGGGTCTAGAGGCCGAGACGATGGACTGCGCTGTAATTGCGGAGGGCTTCCGGCTTTATAGATGTGAGCCTCACTCATAGGGGCCACCTGATATAGCTCAAGAAATATACCAGATGAAGGAACGGAATCCGGCCGGGATCATATAGGTTCGTCATTACTGCCTATTTTGCACTCGATGCTAAACGAAATGCAGGAATGCATCTCTGGGATCCCGAGCTGTTGACTGAGGCTCGAGGAAAGTTTTTGAACTTCCGAGTGAGTAGTCACCGAATACTCATCGACTCTGATTGAACCATTTCTTTCCAGCATCAGGACCTCCTGCTTATTCTGTATGAAGGATTGATTAAGCCACCACAACATTCGCAAAATACCACGAAAATGAAACAGAATGAGGCCGATTCCGCACCTCGAGTATCTGTCCTCTTCGGAGCAGAGGTCGTTGAGGTAGACTGTGCCACTTGCACAGTGACCTTGAACACTGGTGAGACTCATGTTGGGGATGTTATTATTGGTGCAGATGGTGCACGGGGCGTCGTTCGGCGGATGTTGATGCAGGAGGAGGATGCTGTACCAGGCAGAGACGACTCGCCCACAGGCCTGGCGGTATATATGTCCGTCTTCTTTTCTTTTAGGGTTGTGTATGACAACCAAATCTGCGATAGGGCCGTGATACCAAAGTCGCTCACTGTCAATGACCCGGATCTCGCATCCTTTTACGAGTATCCTGAGGTATGCATCTTTGACGGATTGTTTCAGACGTCCCACAATCATCATATCATATAGTACACCACGTCGTTCGGTTCCAATCGAGGTGCGCTGGGAGTCCTTTGACCATCCCTGTCGGTTCTCTTATAAGCTATACCTACTCAGGCGCATTGACGTTTACTGCTGTGCGTAATAAATCATCCTTCGCAGCACCCGGGATTAACGTGGATCTCAGGGAAAGAGCGAGAAATTTCTCTCTGTATATACACTCCAGACAGCCCGGGAGATGGTGAAGGGAATGACCAGAAGCTCACTGATGTTCTCGGACCATGTGATGTTGGGTGAGTCTGATATTTCTGTTGGTTGGTTCAAGTTCTCACCATGCGGTAGGATTCGGAAACTGGCAGCGCTCGCTAAATCGGCGGCCTGTATTCAGATTACAGATCCATACCGCCTCAGGTCATGGGTTTCTGAAAGCGGCAAGGTTGTAGTTCTGGGCGAAGCAGCTCATCCATATCCGGTGTGTTTAAATGCGTGTTTAAACACCATCACGTTTAAAGATTGGATAGCCGGGTTCACTGCATAAATATTCGATAGCCCTCGAAGATGGCGCCTTCATCGGCAAGATTTTCTCGCATACTCGTGACCGTAACCGCATTCCCGAATTTCTGCATGCATTTCAAGAACACCGGTGCGTACCATCGCTATAGCTTTTATTATACCACCTCACTCTAGATGGCACAGAGAATCCCGCTGCTTCCGCATTCGAGACATAGAAAAACAATATATCGGTGGTACTATCCTCCAGGATGGTGAAATGCAGGCGGCGCGCGACGCGGCTCTCCGGGCGAACTATGCAGCTGGTCGGGATGTGTTTGACACCCCGGGAAGTGTTCCAGAAAAACTGTTAAATGAGACAGTTATGGTGTAAGCCGTCGCCCACTGGTCCCGCGAATGCAGCTGATCCAGGAGTCGTAGGTTCGGCTACGATCCGGCGGATGATGCGGATGAGTGGTGGATGTCTTGGGGTCGTCTTCGTGAAGCCGCAGACGTTCCAACGAACAAGATCGTGCTATGAGGTGTGCGACATTTTCTAGTATCACAAGCGATCATGATACCATCGGTTATCTTTTTCTAGTACTGTAAACTTACATATTAATACTGCTTTCCACGAAACCGGCGTTGCGGGAAGAAGTTTAAATTCTACGAGCGGAGTCTAGATCGTGTGATAAACCCCATATTCCAATTTGAGTGAAAACCGCAACAGCACTGTAGCACAGCTGGAAGTGCGCCGGTCTCATAATTTGTCTGCTCGACATTTGAGTAATCCGGAGGTCGCTTGATCGAGACGAGCCGTTGCTATTCTTTTTTGCATCTGCTAGACAGAAAGAAATGACTCGAGTTCCATTCATGATGACTCGAATGGAAGTGATTATGGAACTGAAGTCATTTACTTGGAATAGCACCGCAGTTGTTCAAAGCGCATGAAATCGCATTTTAACTCGGTTTATTTTATTTTTTGGCCATGGCTGCGGACCGCCTGCGAGTATTTCAGACCTTGAAGACACGGATTCTTTGTCTTTGTTTACGTCTGAGTTTTTGACGCGTCAAAGTCACGTGAGAGCGCTAGCCTCAATCAAATCTAAATCAAATCACTACAGGACATCGAGCAAAAAAAAAACAGAAAAGAATCGGAAAGGCAAAGTTCTTCTCGCAAGCACGAAATTCGATCCATGTCTTCGGGTGCGCGAACCGTCAGTGCGTCACAGGCAAACAGCGTTATGCGTGACAAGCCAATTGTCTTTTTATCCTCTCACATTGCCGCACTACCGCTAACTTATTGTCCAAGCGGCATAATGATTTCTCATCGTGATAAAATTTCCCCACTGGCTCTTTTGTATTTGCGATCAATACTTGCAGCCGACGGCCGAACTGCGTTGATTTCCAGATGCCGCGACCGGAGTCCGCGAAAGAACACAATAAACGCAATGATTCCCGCAATTCTTCATTGTACTCCCTATTCAGGCGGCATATATGCGCGGTATAAGTAGCGCAAGCTTGCTGATTGAAGCGCTATCCGAGCTCGACCCCCACCCCCGCTCAAAGCTTCTTTGATTTTACGACGCATCTTTCCCATCCTCCGTTCAAAACAGCCATGGACGCATTCACCACTATCTTCTCTGCAGTCGCATACATCTCGTTCTCTCCTGCCCCGCAGCCCACATCGGCAGCAGTCGAGGAGCTCCCCCAAATCGACACCGTCGATTATGACAGGGGCACTGGCTCCTCTGGCGGGTGCATTATCGTATGAAGTACGGGATTTCCTTCGCATTTTGACGTGGCTGGTATGTCCTTAATTCCTTCTTTCTCCTCTTTTCCTTGACAGCTTATGGCTTTTTTTCCACCAGTATCATCACACATCATATCAAGCCATTCAGGTCATTCTTCGAACGACTCCTACGCCCACCCATATACCACCCATCACATACCCGACGATAATCTCGCTAGTCTTCGAGATCATTTCTTTCATGACTTGGAACAGTTACTTTATGGCCCATAACGGCATTACCTCCCTTAGCTCGCACATATAATGCGGATCCACGTTCCTTATATTACTTGTACTCTGTCAGTTTTACAGACCTGTCGTATCTTCAGCGTCAGCAAATAGACGTTTCTATCCTTTATCATCCCCAGTGCCAGTTAGAGTCGACGGAAACAGTTGTGTGATTATGTGCGCTGCTGTTCATGCCGCCCCATCACGAAGGCGTAGAACAACATTGAGTGGTCAGACGCGATGGGGTTGTCAGCTTCAGAAACAAGGCAATTTTTCCAACCCGATGGATGTGCGCTATGGATATGCATTAACTGGTTGGGGAATGTCGGTGAAACCCGGGAATAGTCCAGTTGCGCGGCGAATGCCGCTCAAATGGAGGATGTAGACAGGATCCCTACGAGCGCATTAAAAGCGTGGTTGACTAACCAGTGTCGCCTGGGAATTGCGGCGGAGCTATCCCAATTGCAGCTAAGTTGGAAAAAATCCCGGTGCAAATTTCTGGTGGACTTGGTTCACGACATATAGAATTTGTGAAGACTTCGGAGTGCGTACATGGTTGGAGAGTTAGATATTGGTTAAACATACGGTAAATTTGTTACACCGTTGTGTTTCGGTCAATGTCATACCTTGCGTTAAATAATCCATCTCATTATGCAAGTTGGAGAGCAGATAGATTCAATTCTACTACGGGTATGAGATTTTATTTCAGAGTTGAAGTTCAATTTAAGTGTGATCGGAGTTCTCGGCGTGGCTGTGCTCATTGGGATGAAGGTTGTTCAAATGTTCACATATCATTTAACGTCCACAGACGCAAGTCTACGCGACAGTTCAAACTGTTTCGCACTTTATGGCCCTTTTGAATCGTCTGCTTGAGCTTGAAAGTGAACCAAATGACGATATCAAACGTTAAACATGAATACTCCTATCCTGGTCTAGAACGGTCTGTTTCGCGGAAGTGCCCTCCTTCTAAGACACTGCTGGGTATAAAAACCCCCCAAATTTTCCCTGAGTCTCATCCACAACCTTCCTTCGGCCCTCGCCAGCTCAGTCTCAAACTATTACTACGATGGCATCCTTCCGCACCACGTTCATCACCGCTGAGTCTAAGCGCGTATCCAAGCGCATCTCCCTCGCTTCCCTCGCCTCCCTCGCCTCCCTCGCATCGCTCGCATCTACAGACAGCGGCAGCACCTGCGAGAAACCTATTGTTGTCGCCACCACCGTCTCGACCACGACGGCCACGTACCCTGCGACTGTGCCGCCGCCATTCGCAACCTCGCTTGGGTCAGACGAAAGACTTCCCCGCCCACGGCGCGGTGCGCCTCCTGTCGCACCAGCAAAAAGTGCGGAAGAGCGCAAGCAGCAAAGTCACAAGGGTGTCAGGCAAAAGCTGCGGCGCACCATCGGGCTTGAACGCACCCAGTTGGACCCGGCGCTATGCGAAGGCTGGTGGTAAGTATTTGTTTTATTGTTGTTGCGGATGTTGATTATTTTCCAGATTACGACATTCTTTAACACCGTTCATAGCCGGAGAACCGATAATATATTCCAGTGGAACACTAAACATCTAAACCATTTACTGTAATATCAACTGTTTGTTAAATTTCATCACCACTTCATTTTTGTATCTTCGTCGTCCAAATTACGAATGTTTCGATCCACCTCAATTTGCGCTAGATAACGAGTCGGGCACCGAGTTCACGAGCAACATGCTAGTTATCCAAATGCAATGAAATCGGCAAATATGATACCGAAAGACCTTTACACGAAGGCGGGCTCAGTACATGGAAATCCAGAGCAATACCTCATTACAGTCCAATGATAGCTTCCACTAACTCTGGCTGCGAATGGTAAAAATCGAGGACTTGAAAATTCATAAGCTTGGATATCTCGGGAGGAAAAGGACTTACAGACAATACCGAAGCGCTTGCCTGTCTTCTGTTTGAACCACGGGAGAAGACGCTCGTTCATGCCCTTGGTCGAAGCATTTCCCAAAGCGATAACCTGAATAGAATAAATCGGGTACACATGAGAAGAAAAAAGAAGGGAAAGGCGTATACATTCGGGGTGATCAAGTCTGCATTTGCGTGAGCGCTGGCAAAAGAAATGTACAGAGCTTCTTCGACGTCGTCCGCCAAGGCGGCATCCATCGCTTTCGTCAGATGGCCGGTGACCGCCTCAAATTTCGACGTGATGTTGGCGTCTGCGCTGGAATGCGGAGGGACCAACGGCATGAATGTGTCCTGCACGCCGAAAGGTCAGCTCGTTGACGGAAGAAGTGACCCTTCTGACCTGGATGTATGCAACTCTCTTCGGCTCCTTGTTGTAGACGAGTTTGATATCTCCGCCGTTCGGCGTCCATTGCTCAGCATCGAGATGGATCCCAAAAGGGTTCGAAGGGGGAGACGATAGAAATTGATAGGTGAATCGCTGCAGCAGGACGAGTTTCCCGCGGGCAGCCCCAAGGGTGCCGAGCTGAGTGACCGTGGTATTAGTGACACACAAAACCACTCTGGGTCATGCGCATTACCTCGCCTGCAACGGGAAGCCAGAACTTTTTTCCCAGCTCGTTGTTTAGGGTGGCGTATAAAATCTCCTCGAATTTTTTGTCGTAAAGTGTTTTCGAGCCCGCCTCTTGATTGATGGAAACAAGTACCGTCTCCGAGGGATGGGTTATGAGCCAGCCGTAGAGCCCGTAAAGAACATCCTGTAGTGTAGTCGTCGGTCCAAGCATCGCGACGCCTTTCGTACACATGAGTCATTTTGAACTGCAAGGTAAGTTTGAATTCGAACCATGGTAAAACCCGATCGTATCATTTCCAGGATTATACCCCAGCCTTAAATCAAAGACACGGATGCCGTCGTTGAGCGATTGCACCAAAGACCGTTCCTGACAACGGAAGAATACTGCGTTACGAATCCTACCTCATTGTTCAAGAAATGCTTGTCGAGATGCGCCGCCAGACTCACGGTCCCGTATATTTGATAAGTTCAGCCTGTCTTGCGTCAGAGTAGTCCCCTCAAAATAAATGCGGATTCAGCTGCAATGCCGGGAACAAGGTAAGGCGAGTACATGTCGCGGCATCATGGGTCCCTGGGAGGTTCATATCCACCAACTTTGTCTCGTCGGGCATTTTAGCCATCCAATCGTAAGTGGGTGAAGATAGGGAGCAGCCATTAGTATCGCGACCTCAAAAGGTGAGTTTTGGCATGCAATTCCACAAGGTGGCATACCTAGGATCGGGGCTGCTCGGTCTAAAATTTCAGCTAAGGCGCAATCGGCAAGGTATTGCTGCAATGTCATGGTGGTTTCCGACAAGTTACCCTGGCGCACGTGGATGAGAGACGTGATCGAGTCGCGTTAAGCTCACGGTCATAACATGACACAACAATGCGCATGGTGAGAAAAAACATCATCGCCAGTATTTTTTTGATTGCAGAGTCTGGTCTCCTGCGGAAAAATCAGGCGGAAACACAAGGTGTGTCGTAGGATCTTAGAGACATATTTCCTCAGTCATAAACATCTGTCCGACTCTGACGGTCAATGTCCACTTTCCCGGTTGGAAGCTCACACTTTCACGGATCTGTCTGTATCATTCCACTGTCAATAAGCTAGCGGCAGGTAATTGCATCCATTTAACGTGCGAACGGAGGACAATCATTTTTACGTGCCCGGGAGGTCGGGGATCTCGGGGTTGTTGATTTCCGCCACAAGGTTTGTTTGATCTGCTGTCCACCAAAGACGTCACCGCAGAACACTGCCGCGCGCCCGGCTGCGACGACCTCCGCCTTGACGGCGTCGAGCTGA